CCACAGCACTGGCATTGCTCTCTCAGCACTCACCGTTCAACCGTGGTTGTATTTATGCATCTGTGTGTTTCAGACACGGTGAGACACTGGGGAGCCAGAGTGCTGGGTTTGAGTCCCCGCTGCACCACCTCGCTCAGGCTGAAACATCAAGGCCGCCGGCATTGTCTCTCCAGCCTCATGAGACTCATTTATAAGCAGAGATGGTTACAATCACGCCCACAGCCCAGACTTCTTAGGGGGCACAAATAGGATTCATGCGTGTGAAAGCATTTGGTAAACTATAAAAAGCACTTGGTCATGTTGCTTCTTTCTGTTTTGGGTTCCCCGAAGGTGCCTCATGGGAAGGGCCTGCTTCCTCTCGCTGAGCCGGTGGGGTGGGGTCCTCAGCAGGTGCCTGGTTGCCTGGCCCCGCTTGGACCCTGTCTAGCAGGAGGTCTGCGTGTCTAGCAGGCCTTAAAGGCTACAGAAGAGCAGACTTGCTGGGGTCCAGATGGCCAGCAAAAGCGTTGGCAGGGGAGGCGGCAGCGCGACCGTGTGGAGTGATTTTCCGGCCCTGCTCCCAGGCTAAAGACATCCAGATGGCGTCTTGAAGAAGTTACCCAGGAAGCCGGCTGCCAGACATGAGGGCTCCGAGAGGAGATCCAAGGAGACACGAAGCCGAGGACAAAGGAGGACACAGCTGATCGTCGAAACACAGGATTGCCCAGAGCCCAGCTAGAAACCGTCAAAATACAAACAGCCCTGGTAAACAAAGCCCAGCCACGGGGCTGTGGGACAAGAGCGCCAGAACGTGTCAGATCCGTGAATCAGGAAAAGCCATTGTTAAAAACGCAGAAAGATGCACAGAGGAGTGGGCCACAATGGCTAGGGTCAGGTAGCAGGGTTGGGAAGGGTCTGTGGCTAGCCAGAGACCCCTGCAACACTGGAAGACCCCAAACACTGGGCTAAGAAGTTTGGAACTTCAAGGCAAGGGGAGCTGTGGCTGGAGGTTAAGTGGGAAAAGGAGAAGGTGAATATTTGGATGTAATCGACAGCAAAGAATGAGCTTTGATGGCGTGGCGCGTAGTGTGTGTCTCATTGTTAGCAGTTCAAATCCAGCAGCCGCTCTGAGGAAAACCACTGTGCTGTCCCCTCTCAGAAGATTTACAGCCTTGGAAACATGCTAGAGGGTAGCTATGAATCAACTCAACAGTACAGGGGTTGGTTTATAGCAAAGAAAGGATAGTGTGGAAATCAGTTCTAAACAGTGGTTACCATTATGCCCTTAGGACAAACTCCCAGCCCACATGTGTGCTTCAGGGAATTGTATTGTGGGGGGGGGGGGTTCCCAGCAGCTTAGTTTTTCGAAAGTATCGAGATCATCACTTCTGAGATATCTTTAGGTGTATTTGAACTGCCAACCTTTTTCTCTAGCAGTCAAACCTTTAATACTTTTTATCATCCAAGGAATTTTTTGGAAACTAGGTAGAAAATCATGTGATATTACATTCAGCATCTATGGGACTTTGTTGTTGGCTGATATGAATAGAGGCTGGGGGCAAAGAGTGGTCTTTGCATTTTGGAATGAGATGAGGTGGGGGAACTGGGAGCAGGCTCAGGAAAGGACAATCTCCACTTGAGGTTTATGGACTCTAAGGTGGAAATGGATGTGGTCTGTCTTAGAGAAGGCTGTATAGGTTGGAGTTCATACTCTAGGTCTAGAAGAGATTCAGTCTCGGGAGCTGTCTAAGATTGGGTTTCTCAGAAGTAGATCCTAAGACAACAAGTGATTTCTTTGTTAAGAAAATGCTTCCAGGAGAGGCCAGTACAAGAGTTGGGGATTGTGATGGTTTAGCTTGCGTTTCAGCTTGGCTGCCCAAGATTCTCTGCTTTGGAGATCTAACATAACGTGATCAGCTGCGGGACGAGATCTGAGCAGCCAATCGGCTGAAAAGGCATTTCCTCAGGGTGTGGCCTGCATGGAGTTCATCATCCTCTGACATCAGGTTCTTTGAACGCAAGCCAGCAGCCTGCCATATTGTCTGCTGAGCTCTGGTTCAGCAGCTTCCTAAGCCAGTCGCCTGCTGGTTTGCCTGCTGCTCTTGGGTTTCTCAATTCCTGCAACTATATGAGAGCTGAAAAAGCAAACAAACAAAAAACCCCAAACACCAACAACTCTCTTCTTCCCAACTATCTATCTATAAAAAAACCACCACCAGCTCCTTCCCTCCTTCCTTCCTTTCTTCCTTCCTTCCTTCCTTCCTTCCTTCCTTCCTCTTTCTCTCTCTCTCTCAAAAAACCACCACCAACTCCTTCCTTCTATCTATCTATCTATCTATCTATCTATCTATCTATCTATCTATCATCTATCTATCATCACCACCAAGTCTAACTATTAAAAACCACCACCAACTCTTATCTAGCTATCAAAAACCCACCACCAGCTCTTATCTATCTATGAAAAAAACACCAACAACTCTCTTCTCTCTCTCTCTCTGTATCTCTATCTCTGTCTATCTACAGGACACCTGATGTTGTGGACATTAGTGTGCTAAGCAAAAGACCAGTGGTTTGAATCAACCTGCTGCTGTTCTGTGGGAGAAAGATGAGACAGTTGCTGCTCTAAAAATGTATGGCCTTGGGAAACTGTACAGGCAGTTCGAGTCTGTCCTGGAAACCCACTTTAAATTGGGATTGACTCCACAGTTGGGGGTGGAGGGCATGGGTGAGAGTCTATATAAATAAGCGTCACCGGTTTTGCTTCTTAGGGAATGCAGTCCAAGGCGTTTGGTACTATGGGGGGGGGGGATTCTTTCCTTCTATTAGAGTCACACTTATGGCTTCCCTTTGGGTGATGAGAACAGCAGCTGTCTTGGCACCTTCCCTGGCCAAGCATACCATATGTGGCACCCAAGAAGTCATTTGAGGGGTTGTGAGTAAAATTTTGCTGCATGTCAGCGTTTGAGACCTGGTTTCATCCCTTATGCCATCCATAGTCATCGTCCTAGTCCAGAGAAAACATGACTATGGAGACTTTCTATGCAGTAAGATGGTGGTCTCTCATCTAAGGTGGCTAGCCCCTCTGCTGGCAGAGGGAGAAAGCCGCCAACCCACCCCAGTCTCTTGGCCTGTAAGCCTGGCCCTGCACATCTATCTGGTCCCAGCTGACCAGCTGTCCTGGCCTCTTTCCGGTCTTCAAACCAGTCCAGTCTCATGGCCCTGCATTTCCTTTTGAAAGACCCTCCTCCTGTCTTTTAGTCCAGGAAATGCTCATATCCCTGACCTTTGCTCCCTACTGGTCACTGCTATCTGTCTGGAATGCTTGTCCTTACTCTGAGCACTCAGGCTAAATGAATGAAGGAATGTCCTCCCCGCCTGTGCGGGGCAGGGGTAAGCTGGATTCTGCAGGCAAAGACTCCCAGGCTCTGGAGAAGCAGACAGGGGTGGGCAGCAGGTGAGGCCCTGTATTACAGCGAGTGTCCAGGGCACTGAGCCCTCCTCTGTGGCCCCCACCCTGGAGCTGTGGAGCCCATCTGCGGGCTGGGAGCAGAGGGTCATCCTCTAACTGCAGCAGTGATGAGCTGGAGGCTCTAAGAGTCAGGAGATACCTCGGGCTGGAAAATCACACCACGAAGAGCTGGGCTGGCCCCCTGACAAGGCGGGAGAGTGCTGAGAGGCCTGCGTTCCAAGGCGAGGCCAGCCAGGCGGAGGAGAGACTCATTCCTGGAAAGTGGAAACCCCCGGGGGGCTGCGGCTGCTCTTTGAGCCGCTGGCGAGCGCCCTTCTGGCTTGGGGGCCACGCAGAGTGGTGAAAGCTGAGCGGCTGGGAGGCCCGGCCGTCCTGGTGTGGACAGGACCGTAAGGCCCAGAGGACAGCGGCCCCCACAGGTGGAGTCAAGGAACAGGCAGCCCAGGTAGCCTGGCTCCCATCCTGGCCGCCTTTCTCCGTGCCAGGTCCTGGCTGCCTCTCCTACCACAAAAACATGCTCGTGGCTCCCTGATGACAGGTGGGACGATAAAGGGACTGTGCGCGGGTGCGTGGGTGTGTGCGTGTGCATACAGTGGACTTCACTTGCAAGACACCCCTGGGAGGACCCTTCGGTAGTCTGTAAGGTGGCATGGTCCTGTCATTGCTTTATTTTAAAATCTTTGTTTTTAAAGCAAGTTGAGACTTCACAGGACTAATATATCTATTATTTAGAACTCCCAAACACCAGAATGCTACAGATAGTGGGGAGGAAGTGAAGACATTGGAGCTGCTGGTGGGTATGTAAAATGGTGAGACACTGTGGACAGCAGTTTGGTGGTCACTCAGAGAGAAACATAGAGCCCAATCCTATGCTATGCCCTTGTGGCTTGAAAGCAGGAACTCAAACAGATACTTGTATGCCGGTTCATTGTGGCGTTATTCATAATAGTTGAAGGATGGAAACACCCAGAACATCCATCCGCAGGGGAATGGCGGAGCAAATCATGGCCATACAGACAACGGGGTATTATTTATCTCCATTGCATACTGATAAAGGAAATTATGTTCTTCTATGTACTGTGACTATGAGGTGGATTGATTCATTGATTCAGTGACTGGGGTAATCGGGATGGGTGTGTCAGAGGCAGTGCGATTGGCACAGGACAGAGCGGAGTTTAGGGCTGTTGTACACAGGGTCACTATGAGTCGCAAGAGACTCAACGGCACATAACAACAACAACAACAACAACAACAACAGCAACAACAACAACAACAACATGTACTGTGACATGGATGAATCTTGAAAGCTTGAAAAACCCAGCCCCAAGAAGTAATGAGGAGAAACAGCTGCAGACACCCTAGCGTAACTAGAATACAGAATGTGTGAAGTATGAATCTAAGGAAATGGAAAGTGAATCAAAAGTTAAATGGGGTCCCCGCCCCGAGCCGGCTCCGCCGTGAGGGGCCGCGTCTGCCGAGTGGTGGCCGGGCATGGTGTTGGGTGCCGAGCCGCCTCGCCTGTCTCGGGGAGCCCAGGGCAAAGGCAGCCGTGATGCTCACATTGGCCAGCAAGCTCAAGCGGAACGACGGCCTCAAGGGGGCACGCTCGGTGGCCACGGCGCCCGACTCAGCACGGCGCGTGTCAGTGCGGGACAAGCTGCTTGTCAAAGAGGTTGCAGACCTTGAAGCCCACTTACCTTGTACCTGCAGAGTCCACTTTCCTGATCCGAACAAGCTCCACTGCTTCCAGCTGACGGTGACCCCAGATGAGGGTTACTACCAGGGTGGAAAATTTCAGTTTGAGACTGAAGTTCCTGATGCGTACAACATGGTGCCTCCCAAAGTGAAAGGCTTGACCAAAATCTGGCACCCCAACATCACAGAGACCGGAGACATCTGTCTGAGTTTACTGCGAGAACATTCGATTGACGGCACTGGCTGGGCCCCCACCAGGACACTGAAGGATGTTGTTTGGGGATTAAACTCTTTATTTACTGATCTTTTAAATTTTGATGACCCACTGAATATTGAAGCTGCAGAACATCACCTTCGGGACAAGGAGGACTTCCGGAAGAAGGTGGACGACTATATCAAGCGCTTTGCCAGATGATGTGGGACAGGCCCCTGGGCCCAACGTCCGGATGAGCACGAGCCCTGCCTCTCCAGTCTCATGTGCCCTTGTTCCTCCTGCGTGGTCAGTCCACGTTGTACCCAGAAGTGGAGAAGCCCACCAAGTCAGACAGAGCTTGTCTTCTGGGTCCTAAGAGAGGTCTGCTTACCCGCCCGTGTTTTCCTTTATTCAAACTGTATGTTGATGGGATCCTTGCAGAGTTTCATGAACTCACCTCCAGCTAGAGCTTGCTTTTCCCTGCCCAGTCCAGCGATGCAATACACGTTAGTGTAACCCGCAGACTGACAATAAGACACTGCTGCAGACTGAGGTTGGGTGCAGTTCTCTCAGTCCCCCAGAGCGTGGCCCCCACATATCCCCCCGCTCCCCAGAATGCATCCACCACCCAGAATCCACCGTCTACCTTACTGAGATGCGTATTTTATTTAATGTAAGTATATTTTGGAACAGATTTGTAATTTGTACAAAAAAAAATTAAATGGAACACATAAAGATAGATCGTCTGGGCATTACTAAGCTGAAATGCATTGGTATTGGCCATTTTGAACGCAATAATAATATGGTCGACGATGCCAGGGATGAGAAATTGAAGAGGAATGGTGTCAAATTCATCATCAAAAAGAACATTTCAAAATCTTTCCTGAAATACAGTGCTGTCAGGATAGGACAATGTCCATACTCATACAAGAAAGGCCTGTTAAAATGAGTCTTGCTCAAATTTATGCACCAACCATGAAAGCCAAAGATGAAGAAATTGAGGGTTTCTACCAACTTTTGCAGTGTGAATCTGAACAAACATGCAACCAAGATGCATTAATAATAACTGGTGATTGGAATGCAGAAGTTGGAACAAAGAAGAAAGATTTGTACTTAGATGAACGATGGCCTTGGTGATGGAAATATGACCAGAGAGTGAATGAGAAGATGACTTACTCATTGCAAACATGTAGAAACCCAACCCAAAAAATAGCAGCTGCACACCTTGTCTGACAGAATGCACAGGAGTCAAATTGATTACTCATATGGAAAGTAATGATGGGAACGCTCAATATTACTCAGAAACAAAGTTGGTGGCCAGCTGTGGAGTAGTCAAATAATTGGTGACATGCAAGTTCAAGCTGAAGCTGAAGAGAATGAAAACAAGCCCATGAACATGAAAACGCAATCTTTAGTATGTCCCATATGAATTTAGAGAGCATATCAAGATTTGATGTATTGAACACTCATGGCTAAAGACAAAATGAATTGTGGGATTATATCAAAGATCTCATTCATGAGGAATGAATGACAGAAAGTTGTTAAAAAGACAAAATGGTTGTCAGAAAAGACTGAGCAAACAACTAATGCTGGCGAGGTTGTGGAGAAACTGGAACCCTTATTCACGTTGGTGGGAGAGTTAAATGGTACAACCACTATGGAAGGCAGTATGATACTTTCTCAAAAAGTTGGAAATAGAAATACCAATGAACCCAGCAATTCCACTACTGGAAATATACCCTGAAGAAATCAGAACCCAAACAGATATATGCACATCTATGTTTATTGCTGTTTGGTTCATAATAGCAAAGAGTTGGAAACAACCCAACTGCCTATCAACAAACGAATGGATAGAGAAGCTGTGGTATAGTCACACAATGCAATATTATGCAGCACTGAAAAACAAAGAACTCATGAAATATTATGCAAAATGGGTGACCATGGAGAAGATGATGCTGAGTTAAATATCTCAGTTGCAAAAAAGACAAATACTGCATAATGCCACTGTTATAGAACAGGACTGATATGGGGTTGGGGGAAAAACTAAGAAAAGAGGGGATAAATAATGCACACGGCATTGAAACAGATGAAGGAGAGAATTGTATAAAAGAAACATATGATTAAGTATTATTGGTATGACAAAAGTCCAGAATAAGAGCTGCATAGTAAAGTGGTGGTGGTGGTGGGAACTGTATAACAATGAAAGAACTTTTTTCCCAAAGAAAAAAGGAAATGGGTCGGGGGAGGGGAGACAGGGAAGAAAATGTGCAACAGTGAATGAATGGAAATCCAAGTTCTTTATAAACTTTCATTAAAATCTAACAATATAGATATATGCTTTTTTAAAAAAAGACTTTGAAACTTACTATAGACTCTGGAAACATCAAAAGAAGATGGAAGAATTACGTAGAGTTGTATTGACCCAGTTCAGAAAGTAGCATATGACCATGAACTAATGGTATTGAAGAAATAAGTCTGAGTTGTACTGAAGGCCTTAGGGAAAAACAAGTCTCCAGGAATTAGCCGAATGCCAGTTGAAATGTTTCAACAAACAGATGCAATACTTGAGGTGCTGATTCCTATAGAAATTTAGAAAACAGCTACCTGGCCAAGCCATGGAAGGATCTGTATTAATACCCATTCCAAAGAAGACGATGCGATAGAATGCAGAAATTGTCTCACAATATCCTTAATATACAGAGCTCTGGTGGCCTCTGTGGCAAGAAGCTGCATGCACTGCAAGTCCAAAGGTGTGTGGGTCAAATCTACCAGCTACTCCACAGGAGAAGGATGAACATGTGGTTACTCCTCCCCTGTGATTTACTGCCTCTGAAAACCCACTGAAGAGTCAGCTATGGGTTGGTTCCAACTCGATGGCACACAGCAACGACTTCATCATTAATAGCACATGAAAGTAAAATCTTGCTGAAGATAATGAAAAAACACAGACACAAAACCCCAACCCAGTTATAACATCGTATTGAAAGATAATTTCTGCGAGCTCTGGTGGCCTAGTGGTAAGAAACTGCTGCAATCTCAAAGGCACGTGGTTCAAATCCACCAGCTGCTCCACAGGAGAATACGTAACAACAACAATAAATAATATTTATCACTTCTCAGCCTTTTGGCTAAGATCGAGTGAAAGAGAATTTCCAGAAATTCATACCAGATATTTCTTGGCATGCAAATATTTATTAATGTATCTTGATTGAAAATGAGAATTTAAAAAAGGTATTTGTTATTACCATTATTACATTACTATTCAATCTGGATAGTGAACAAAGAATTTTAGAAACTGGACTATGTAAAGAACAGAGCATGGGGACTGGAGAGTCTCACTAGTTATATCAGATGACCCAACCTTGCCTGCAAAGAGGAAGAAGGCATGAGTCACTTACTGATGAAGATCAAAGACTACAGCTTTAGCCTGGTCTGTACTTCAACCTGTAATGAAAATACTCACAAATGAATCAATAACAAACAGCATGTTAAATAAAGATTGTTGTTGATTTTTAAATTTTAATTGGCGATTTTAACAAAAGTTTACAGAGAAGTTATATTTTCATTCATTCATTGTTACACATTTTACCCCCTCTCCCTCCCCCAGTTCACTTTTTTAAAAGAAAATATTCATTTATTATTGCATAATTCCCTCCCTCCCCCCAGCCCTCTTTGCAATGTACCTCTGTTGTTGCATGTATAATGTCTGACTGCTTTTGATGTTGAGGTGACACAGGTCAGAACAATTTCAACTATTATGTGCACTTGATATTTTATCATTCTTAAATATGTCATAGAATTCTCCAAAGAACTTCATTCTGAAAACCATCTGTGCCTAGATATAAAGTTTTAAACTCGGAATGAAAATGAATTCATTAGGTTTGGACTATCTAGGTTATCTTCTCTTTTGAGAGATCTGTTGACTTATTGGTCAGGAGTTGTGTTACCAGCTCAAAGGCATGCATTCGAATCCACCAACTGGTCCACAGGAGAATGCTGCCAAATTTATAGGCATAGAAATATTGGTGGTGTTCCATTATTTATCCTTCAGCATCTGTTAAATCTGTTGTAATGTTTTCACTCTTATTCCTGGCATTTAACGTTGTGTCTTCTCTCTTTCTTGATCAGCCTAGACAGGTCTTGCTTTTATTTACATCTCCAAAGCACCAGTTCTATGTTTCATTGATTCCCTCCCCCCATTCTTAACGCCATTGATTTCTATTCTTATCTTTATAATTTCTTTTTGTTTGGGGCTCAGTTTGCCCTTTAAAAATCTTGTTCCTCCAGAGTGTTACACATCACTTCAAAAAAATGATCAAGAATTTGTGAGATACTGTATGATATGGATTAATCTAAAACAAATTTTGCTGCATGATGTCAGTCAGTCACAAAAAGACAGTATGGTATTAGGCCACCATTATAAAAAGCTAAAGAAATATCTACACACAGATGGAATCAATCTTGGAAGGATAATAGTGGCTGTCAGGGGAAGCAGGAGTAAAAATCAATCAATCAATCAGCTGGACAAAAGGAAAGACAGCAGACAATAAGGGATTGATTACACATTATAATTAATTACTTTAACCAATGGGAATGTTATAAAGCAAAAACCCAATATGATTTGTAAATCTTCACTCAAAAATAAGTACAGTTTTGTAAAAGGAAAAAAAATCATATTCCTTTATGTGGCAGGTTTGAGCACTTGTGTGTGATCTTTCTTCCTTTCTAATATAAGCAGTTGGTGCTGTAAGCTTCCCCCTAAGAGCTGCTTCACCTAAATATGGTGTTTTCATTTTAATTCATCATCTTCTCTAACTTCCCTTGTGACTTCCTCTTTGGCCCATGGGAGATTTAGAAGTGTGTTCTTTAAATTAAAAAATATTTAGGGGATTTTCGAGATCCATTCTGTTACTATGTTCTTCTTAATTCTATTATGGGGTAAGAAAATGGTATGACTTCCGTTTTTTCAAAACTTTTTATAAGTTTGCATTTATAGTCTAGGATATGTTGGTGAATATCACATGTTCTCTTGAAGGAAGGCTAAGTACTATATTATGTCAAACTCAAACTCATTGCCATCAAGTTTGAATCAACTCATAGCTGATAGTCCAGTGGGTTTTCATAGGCTATAAATCACATAGAGGAAAATTGTCTGTCATTCTCCCTCAGAGACACTGGTGGATTTGAACTACCAGAGAAGTACCACACTGGGGAGGCAGCAC